AGTTTTGATCTTCAAACTTTCTATTACATTCAACCCCTTAAGCCAGATTTCTGGGTCCCACCACTAAGGATTCTAACAGATTCTCTGATCCATATTTTTGAAAAAAATTTCCTGAGTTATTTTTGTGATCAGCCATAGATTGCTCCTTTTCTTCTTGAAATGCCTCCATTGGTTTTCACAATTTATGTGAATCCTGTTCTCCAGTCTCTGACCACGTTTTTCTTGTCCAAAGCTGCTTTGCTAACCAGGGCAAGAAAGAACTATTCTCTCTTCCTCTAATAACAGGCACTCCCCCCAGAGAACCCAGAATGAACACGGGACCCAAGCTGGGCAAGCAGAGTTCTTCCCAAGGTTCTCCTAACTGATAGGGAAGATTTTTCCTCCCAGGTTGCAAAGCTGCCAGAAATACCACTTGCTATCTGAACTTCATGTGGCCTGCTGCACTGTGAAACCCATGAAGAGTAGGAGAGAGTGAGGCCAGCAGGCAGAGAGAAGCATGAAACGAAAGGGTGGGGGGTGGGGTGGGACTAGAAGAAAACCATCTAACTTGACAGCACTGAGTCCTTGGACCTTGTCATTCCTGAAGTCAGATCTTCCTCTTTCCTCAGTGAGGTTTATGAACTTACACATTCTCCTTTCTGGCCTAATCTAATTTGAATTGGGTTTCTGTGACAAACAATAAGCCCCTCTCTGGCCCATCCCTTAACTGGGCTCTTCAGTATACACAGCAGTGAAATTAACTTTTCTAAAGCAGACCTCAAACCACCACTTGCCCATCTCAAAAGCCATTCAGTGCCTCACAATGTTCTTAGGATTCAGTACAACAGCTTTCATAACATGTCCCACAGTTTGACTTTGCAGACTTCCCACTACTTCACTACACAAGAGACAAACAAAGATATCTGTTATTCCTTAAACATGCTCTGAAAGCCTGTCCCTGCTTTGTGCCTTGGCCCACAATAATTCTGCCATCTACTAGAATACTCTCCTCCCCCATCTCTGCCTATTAAAATCTACTAAGAAAAAAGATGAAAGGTTTACTCCTTTCTCAAGATTTATTTCACATTGTTCTCTTCAAGAAGACTTTCCAAGCACCTCCACCCCAAAGATGTTACTGCACCCCTCTGCAGCCCTAACATCATTTATCTACATGAATTGTTTATTTATTTATTTATTTATAGATAGGGTCTCGCTCTGTCACCCTCGTTGGGGTACAGTGGCACAATCATAGCTTACTGTGAACTCAAACCACTAAGCTCAAGTCATGTTCCTGCCTCAGTTTCCCAAGTAGCTAGGACTACAGACATGGGCCATTATGTCTGGTTAGGTTTTATTTATTTATTTATTTACTTATTTTTCATAATCAATATTTGGTTAGGTTTTAATTATTAGTAGTAGTAATAGTTGTAAAGACTGGGTCTCACTATGTTACCCAGGCTGGTCTTTAATTCTTGGCCTCAAATGATCCTTCTACCTTAGCCTCCCAGAGTCCTGGGATTATAGGCATGAGCCACCACACCTGGCTATCTTTGTTTTACTCTATATGGATTTTGTGTAGTATTATCTTAGGGCCCTCTTAGTAATGACAAGATCAATCACTTAGTTGTCTCAGTCAAACTCTGAGGCTCATTTTCTCACCCCACAATCCATGTATTTACCAGGTTCATGCTAATCTTTTTCTAAATATTTCCCAAATCCATCACTCCCATCACTCATCCAGACCATTAATATCTCCTACCTTCATATTTCCTGATCTAACAGGTCTCCCTGCCACCAGCCTTATCCTACTGCAATCTAGCTGCCTCCTGATACCAGTTATCTTTCCAACATGCAAATCTAAGCATGCTATGTCCCTGCTTAGAGAGTCTAGATCAATGGCTTCCACTCCCTAATGGCCTGGCTTCTGTCCCCTTCCCAGGCTCACTGGCCACCACTCCCCAAGAAGCACTAGCCAAACCAGACTCTTCCCTAAACACCCAGCGTGCTGTGATGCTGCTTGCCTCTGCGCACAGACCTCCTCTGTCTAGGAAGGCCTCTCCCAACCACTGCCTGGTAAAGTATCCATCTTTCATCTTTCATTCTTCCTCCATTGAGTAACCTTCTTGGACTTCCCTAGATAACAGCACTTTTATAAGCCCTCACTTGATCTGGAAGGAGATAAACTTCTTGGCATCTCCAATGCCTGGCCCAAGGCCCAGCATGGCTTATAGGTAGGTGCCCAATAAATTGCTTGAGACCAGAAGGCTTTTCTGGCAGAGTGGTCTTTGTATTACCATGGTATCTAGCACATTGTACTTACCATGATACCAACTTGGTGCTTGGTCAACTACATTGGTGTCTAGCACAGTACAGTTATATTCTTCACTTGACATGACTGAGATGCCTTGTGAACATTGCTATCCCACAAACACTTTTCTACTGATTGCATGCCTGAGCATGCATGGTTAAGAGATGGGCACTAGAGCCAGACAGACCTAAGTTCAAATCCCTGCTTTATCACTTAGAAGCTGTGGGTCCTAAACAAGGCTGTAAATCTTCCTGGGCCTCCGTTTTCTTGTCTGTAAAGTGGAGATAACCATAGTTACATCATCGGGGGTTTTATGAAGGCTAAACAAGAAAAATCATTTAGCATGTATGGTACAAACACCTGTTACACAGGTAATTGATTTGCTGAATGAATGAGCGGTCCACAAAATGGTAACGGTTCTTAAAAACACATCTTTATATGCCATTTTCCAGAGAACCCATCAGCCAGCTGCAGTTTCAACATCTGGTTTCAAGTCTGAGCCCTGAGTCGGGGGCCAGCCCGAGGCCCTGCCCCACCCATTCCAACATGCGGCTGGGGGAGGCTAGCAGGCCAAGGCGCACAACTGAGGATTCGGCAGCTCCTTTCTAAGGACGAAGGTGTTCACACAGTCGGGTCCCACACCGGCAAGAGCCGCCATCCACGGAGCCCTATCCCATATCTCGCTGCAGAACCAACCAAACCAGATTATTCTCTTAACATCCAGAGTGCTCTCCGACGGCCAATCACCAGGATTCGGTCCCACCCCTAACAGGATTCACCAATAGGGCATGGAAGCTTGTGCTTCCGCGGCATCTCACAGGTTCTCCAGCAGTCCTACCCACCCGCCCCAGTGACATCATCCGCTGGGTGCACGGTGGGACCTGCAGTCGACAGGAGGCAGCGCCGGCTGCTCCCAGTGAGGGATGGAGGAAGAAGACCCGCCACCTTTCCGCCCCACCTTCAGTAGCTGAAGCGGTGGGCTCCCTACCGCCCCTCCGCACTGCGCTGGGGCTACCCAGAATCCGCGTTTATCAGGTGCATCTCGCTCGGATAATTTGGTAGTAACTGAAACTGCAAATACCTATTTCAGAGCCAAAGGGACGTTCATTTCTCATATTCACCTCAGGCCGTTTATCTATGGTCTGGCAATAACTATGAAAAGCCAACGGTAACACCTGACTTCTACTAGTTTCCCTTAAGAATCCAACACAGAACTGGCAATCACGACTTCATCTAAACCATGTGAATCGTTTACATGCCAAACTGCATTACCTCTTAAACTCATAAAAGCTATCACTAGCTCCCCACTGCCTAAGATGCAGATTTCAGACCCCCTAGCAAGGCATGAAAGGTGCTTCATAATTACTTTGTATTTAATTATGTGTGGTTACTTTTTTTAAAAAAAAATAGTGATTCTCAACATCAGCCAGATGTGAGAATCACCTGGGGAGCTTTGCAAAAATTCTGGTGTTTATGTCCTACCCTAGACCTTAGAATTTTGGATGGACGGACTTCCGTTTTTAAAGATCCCAAGGTGATTTTCATGTGTAGCTCAAGTTAAGTACTGCCCACCAACATACCATTGAGGATACAGGCCTTTGCTTTGCAGTGTCCTCAGTTTAAAGGGCCCTTTCGCCCCTTTCCTGCCTGACCAACACCCATCCTACAAGGCTGAGTTCAACTGTTATCCCTTCTCCTCCTCTTTCCAGATGACTGACTCCTTTAGCATACTTACTTGCTTCTTGTCTAGCATCACTGGAGTTACCTGGTGACTTGCCTGTCTCCCTACATAAGCTGGAAGTTCCTTGTGAGCCCTCTTTCAGCTACTCCAGGTCCATGGGATCAGAATCTCTGGGGGTGGGCCTCAAGCATAAATTCTTTGTTAAGCCCCACAGGTGAGTCTGATCCATGCCCCTGCCTAGGAATTCACTTCATAAAAGCACTGGATACAGCAAGCATCCATATATACCTGTTGCACTGCATTGATGAAGCGTCTTACTTGTTTTGAAGTCAATCATATTGTTGTACCTAGTTACCTTTGATTCTCCCAGAAAGCTAAGAATCCCTCTCTTGTATTATCTTCTTCATTAATTTACTTATTAATTCATCCATCAAATATTATCACAAACCATAACAAAGGACTGGGGATTCAGGAGTAAAAAGCAAAACACAGTTACCATCCTATAGGACTTAAGTCTACTGATATATTAATTATACAATAGTTATTATTATAATTTAATTTGTATTACATTGGAATTTTTTCCTTCCATATATTATTTGATATTCATGGGTAAGGAAAATGTCTTCTCTAATATTTCCAGTATGTTGTTGGCACAAACAAAGGCATTCTGTAAATGCTCACGGAATCAAGATAACACATTTCATGGCACTTATCACAATGTTACTGTTTATTTGTGTGATTACTTAATTAATGGTTATCGGTCCCATGAGCTGTAAGCCCTCTGAAGACAGGAACTGAATCTATTTTGCTCCTCATGCCTGACACAGGACCTGGAGAGAGTAGATGTTCAATGAATATTGCTAAATATATGAATAAAAACAGAAATGCAATTTCCCAACCAAACATCCACACTTTTCTCCCTCCCTACTCTCCCCTAAAAGGAAAAAAGGATATTCTGCCTAAACATTAAGGGATTTCAAGTTATAGTGAACATAAGCCCAAACTAAGATGATGTTTCTTTTACTTACTTACAGGTTGACCTGGGACTCTAGTTCAGTATCTTTTGTTGGCCACATCTGCAAGGGCTGGATGCCGAAGGAAAGAGATGACTTCGCTTTCCACAAAAGGGTCTGTGCCATCTGACTCCCACAGGACCCCTTTGTTAGCTGATCCATCAGTGGGCCTGGAGGCTGAGCAGCTGTCCTGAAGTAGAGGAGTTGAGAAAGGCACTGAGAAACAGAGAAGAATGGCAGGCCAACCCTGGCTTGTTCTATCACTCCTCCCTGAGGCCAGCCCTACCAGTAAGCAAGGAGGAGGAGGAAGGTGAGGAACTTCCAAGACCCAGGTGTCCTACTAAGACTGTGTACAACCTTTCTGTATACAGGAAGGTATCATGCCCTAGAATACTCCAAATCCTGCCCACATCCATCATCAATGAGCTAAGCCATCTGCATAGTCAAGTCAGCGTGTCTCAAAGTAGGCTTAGTGAACATCTGAACAATCAAAAACTTATTTAGAAAAAGGTAATATTAATTGAGAAATGGAAGCTATGTCTAGAATTCTTTTAGAGAATCACTGGTGGTGACACCTCATGGCCATCATAACTGGGGCAGTCCAGGAGTACTTGGTTTATCTCCTATTTTCCAATTTAAAAATCTAAGAAAAGTCATAAGAAGAGCCTGGACTGGCAACAACACTAGTGACAAGAGGGACCAACCCAACATTTCAAGAGTAGTGCATTAGTATGTTAGCAGTAAATGCTCATTGAATGAATAAATGAATTATTCATAGGAATAAGTTGAGAAATACATTCCTGAAATGTGTCTGCTCTCTTCTCTGATGACACATAGAGGAAGGCAGGAAGACAGTTCAGGGATGAAGGGAAATTTAGGCATCATACTCCTTCTGACTAGAATTATTTTCTGAGCCAATTAGCAGTGTTCATCACTCACCTCTACCTCAAGTGACAGACAAATAAGCCAGCAAAATCCAATTACTTGGAAATGGAAAAATAAAAATAAAAAGCAACCTTAGATAACGCTTTGGTCAAAAGGGACTCCTTATAATGTATTCTTAAGAAAGACCATGACAAGGCAAAAGACAAAAGGCCTAATGGTTCAGAGCAGTGTTATGCTTGAGGAGGGAGTCTGCTGCAGGGCTGGATGCCAAGAAAAGTGACGCCACACAGACTGGGGATTTGGAGTCAGACAGGCACTGCCCACTCCCAAGCTGCTGAACTGGTGCCAGTTAGACCCAAGACTGCAGGCATGTTTTTAAAAAAAAAAGTCACTCTAGTGACCTACGCCTAATGCAGAAAGGATTCAAGACCCACATAACCTCCTACCTGTCCCTTCTGAGTCTCCCCTCTTCCCAGGTCTCCCTTGTATTCCCCTAGGCCCAAGAAGCCACATGCTGCACACCTGACCCACACTTCTAGATCATCTTTCCCCAAGCTGGCTTCAGGCTACTTATCATGGCAGCAACTAGATAGACATAAGAGACTGAAGCTTTCCACTTACAACAAAGGACAAGAAGCAGCCAGACACGGTGGCATGGTAAGCCTGTAATCCTAGCACTGTTGGAGGCTGAGGCGAGAGGATTGCCTGGGTCAAGAGGTTCAAGACCAGCCTAGGCAACTTGGCAAGACCTTATCTCTACAATAAATCAAAAAATTAGCCAGACGTGGTGGCGCACGCCTGTAGTTCCAAATACTTGGAAGGCTGAGGTGGAAGGATTGGCTGAGCTCAGCAGTTTGAGGCTGCAATGGCTGTGAGTGTGCCACTGTACTCCAGTCTGGGTGACAGAGTGAGACTCCAACTAAAAAAAAAAAAAAAAAAAGAACAAGAAGCTAAGGTTCTGGTATGTTATCAGTTGTTCTTTACTCAAAGGAACCCCAAGTCTTCTAGAAGCCATCTCACTAGGCTTTATGGCTGCCTTAGTGATACACCAACAAATAAATAATAAAGCAAGGCTTCAGGATAAGACAGTTATTTTGCTTTTGAACCCTCCAGTTTCCTTTTAATTATAAAACAATATGTATCAAAAATTATTAAGTACATACTCTCAAAAGAAATCAATAAGGGAGTGGAGGCAGCAGAACAGGGAACAGGAAGAAACCAAGTAGGGCTTCAGTTTCAGGCAAAGCCCTGTAGAGGACCAGCTTCCAAACGCCTACTGGGCTGTCCACCTGGTGGCTACTAGCCACATGTGACTACTGCGCAAGTGAAATGGGGCAGTCCAAAGGAAAGTGTGTATGTGTAAGATATACACTAGTTTTTGGAGACTTAGTGCAAGCAAAAAAGAACATAATATCTCGTGAATACATTTTTACAATGATGGTACAAATACACTAAAATATGTAGCTCGCTTTGTATCTTGGACAGGGCCATTCCAGTTAAATGATATCTCCGAGTGGTCTCCCTTGAGCTCCCACCTCAGACAAGTGGCTGGGCTTCCATATGCCTACAGCTCTTAGTAGTTGGCTGAGCACCAATGGTGTAGAATGCTTTCAAACCCCAGGTCCTTTGAGTTCTCTGCAGATGTAAGGTGTGGAGTGTGAGGGCAGTTCACCTAAGGGTCGCCATTGTGGGTGCTGGGGATGCATGGAACTGAGGACAAGAGAGGAGCACAGAAAGCGTAGTGGAACCTGAGGGGATCCGAGCGCACTGATGGTGTCCATGACACTCTCACCCCGCTCCTTTCCTTCTCATTAGCAGTTTGGTTTCTTATCACTTTTTCTCTGTGTATCTGTAAACCTTTATGCAACCTATATGCATAGACCACACAATGTTCTGTGACTTCCTTTTCTACCTAAACTGTAGGTCTCAGACATATTTCTATATCAGTAAATATGGATGCCTCCTTAATTTGGAATATACAGAATGAGATGATCTTATGCACTTTGCATTATTTTAGCTTTTTAATCTTTAAATATTCTTTTCTGGCCTTTTATCTTTAAGATTTTGTTTTCAAAAATTCAAATGCTATTTTAAACCTTTCCTCTCATTTAATTTTATATTTTTACCATACCTCACCCTTAAAGTTCTTTTATACTTTCATCTAATTATTTGACTTCATTTTCTAACCATTCAGATTTTGTCTCATCATTGTTAATCTGTTTACCCATTTATTTTATCTTTTCTAATCTTAATTTTCTAATTTTAAAAATGTCCCTCTTAACCTTCTGATATATTTAATCTTTACCAACTCACTATTTAAAATATGTAGCAGTCGAAGAACTTCTTGGAAAGAAGGCAGAGTAAGTGCTCATTTGCGTAATTCCTTGGAACCCATGGAAAAAGCAAAAATAGCTCAATATATAGAAGAAAATTTACTGAAGCAAGAAAATGGCCAAACTCCATACTATAATTCTGGAGATCTGCTGTGCACAATTAAGTGAAACTCAAAAGGACCATTGAGATTCTGCGCATGTTCGCAATGTGAGGGACATGAGCAGGCATGCTCTGAGGGCCTGGCCAGGCCCAGTGTGGGAGGATGAGGACTGGCAGTAAGGGCACAATGGGCAGAGGCTTTTCTCATCTTCTTGTTTGCTCACTATCTCAGCTTTCTAATGAGACAGAGAGTAGGATAAGTATACCTTAGGATCTCTTGAAAGATACTAGCCAAAAGTACATGTGAACCCGCCCAAAGATGGACCACGAGTCATGGGAAATCACAATGACCCAGACCCCCTTTGGAGAAGCCTGTTTGCCCTAAAGGTGGGGGGAATGGTAACTGGAGGGAAGCCCTGCCAGATACACCACAGAACAGGGTATTCAGTGCACTGACAGGAAAGCATGGGAACAATAGGAATAGTCACACATTCTCACTGCTTCCTGTACTCTTCCCACTTCCCAAGGCCAGATCTCTAGCCCAAGTCCTGAAAGAGAAGATCCAATCTTTGATCTTAACTTATCATGAAGTGGCAGCTTTCCCTTCTGGAAGATGGTGGAAGCTTGGACTATAGCCAGCTCTCAAGCCCTTTCAACAACTTTGTACACATATTCCCTGGATCAGTATGAAATCCCTTTCTGTTTATATAGTATAAAGTGGATTCTGTTGTCTTTTGTAACTTCTGTCAGATTGGATTGTGAGCTTAACAGTTTGTGGGACCCTGAGTATAGAGTAGGGCACACATTTCTTCTGGTAAGAGCAATGGAATAACCTTCAGTGGGCCTTTTGGTATAAAAGAGAGCTTGCCCCAAACACTAGGCATTTCTGCTCAAGCAGCAAAGAAGTGCTGAGAGGCAACCAGAAGAATCTCAGGAACAGGATGCGTCTGGAGTCACTGTTGGGACTGTGATTGTGCTATCACTGTGGCTGATTTGCTTAACACTGTTTTGAGTTTTTTCAAATATGCCACCAAAAATTGTATTCAAAAGCAAGCTAAAAACATAAAATAAAAAATAACAATAATAAAATAAAATTTTAAAAACATAAAATAGGTGAGAAATACTAGCCTAACTTATAGATGCTTTAACATTTCTATTTTTACTACATCTTAAAGTAAGCATCTTAGCTTGGGGAAAAACTAACTGCAGGAATGTACTTTCATGTACTGAGGACAATCTGTTTTAATATACCTCATACTCACTGTGATTTCAGGTCTAGCCCAGGGCTGTACACTGAATGGGTCTAATTTCCTTTTCATACAACACGCTTTCAAATGTGGGAAGGCAGCTATCATATCCTCTGGAATTTTCTTTTTCAAGTAATACGCCCCTCCCCCATACTGATTTTTCCCTTTACTGGATCATTTCCATTAGATAGATATAAGTATCTTTATAAAACAAAAGCAAAAAACCCAAAACCAAAACAAACAAAAACAATTTTTCAACTCACATTCCCTCCACTCCTGCAGAGTTGACTATATTTGCTGTTTCCAATTCGTCTCCTTTCATTATCTCTTGAGGCGAGTCAAGTGAGATTTTTATTTTCACTATTCCAAAGAAACAGTTTTGTTAAAGCCCACCAGTGAACCAATGATGCTAAATCCAGTAGTCAATTCATAGTTCTTCATTTAGTTTTACCTATCAGTAATATTTGACACAGAAAATCCTTCCCTCTTTCTGTTTTTTAAACAACTATTTATACTAATCTCCAGAATTTGGATCACATGTATCTGTGACACAATGGTTTCACATTCAAATCTCAAGTCTACCTTTCACTTGGGATTTATATGGTTAGTCGAAGTCCACCAAATC